CCCCTTTCTCTCTATCTTTCTCTTTGTCTCTCCATCTTATCTTCCTCCTCCTCCTGCTCATCATCATCATCATCGTTATCATCCTCATCATCATCACCATCACTACCACCACCACCTCCCCACTTGTCTATCATTGACTTCTCCCCCTCTCAGGCCATCTGGCAACAGCTTGATCCCCAGCCCCGACAACAAGTCAACATGCTGAATCTCGTGTCCGGCAAGAGCGGAGTAACTTCACCCCTTCTTCTCCTTTTCGTTCTTCCACTAACGGCATCCCGCCTTTTCTCTGCCCTCATCTTCGTCCTCGTTTGCCTCCTCCTCCTCCTCCTCCTCCTCCTCCTCCTCGTCCTCGTTTGCTTCCTCCTCCTCCTCCTCCTCCTCGTTTCTTCTCCCTATTCGTCCTCTCTCTCCTTCAGCGCGCCGTCAGCTCTTTCAAGGACATCGAAGACCCGACAGACTTTTTCCTTCTGGTTCGAAAGAAGGACGGGAAGGAGGAGACCCCTGCGGGATCAAGGAGCGATCTCGAGAGGCTGAAAAACCTTCGCTCCTCCATGATAGTCCGCCAGCAGAGGATGAAGGATGAGGCCAGCAAGCAGGTGAGGTCTGGGCGCCACGGTGCGAGGATCTAACGATGTAAGCAAGGCGGAAGAGATTCTTGAGCTAGTGAGGCAGAGCAGATGACGTCTCGTTCCTCCTCTGCACTCATTGTATTGCAAGCTCCTAAGCTATCCTGTCTCGCCCTCCCGTCTTTGTCTCTGCCTTTCTCTCCCCTCCCTCTCCCCTTCTTTCTCACTTTCCCTTTCCCACCGCCCTTCCTTCCTCCGGTTTCTCTTCATTGTGCAGTAGATGTCGTACCATTCCTGCTCGTCCTTGGACTCGATGGGAAAGACAGCCTGCAGCACCGCAAAGTCATGCTGCATGAACGGTCTTGCCGACCGTAGGAACTCGTCTACTCCTGTGCTGCTGTGCACGACGAACCGATCCCGGATTTGCTCCTCCAGCTCCTCCCTTGAGCACCAGCTCTTGTCCCCATCAACGTTCAGCGCCTCGTCCCCCTCTGGTCCACTGTGCCATACTCTGTGCGACCACTCGACACCCTCGGCCAGGAAGGAGCTTTGGGGTACGAGCTTGAACGCATCGTACCCCAGCTCCTGCGCCATTCCCACCCAACTCAACGAGTTGCACTCAAACGAGAGGATCTCGGGAGGGCGGAGATCCTTCAGCTGCTGCAAGCACATCTCATCCCCTCCTTCGATGTCCACCTTGATGTACTGCGGACATCCGTAGGTCTCATACAGGCTAAACATAGTGCATGTCTCTACTGAAAACACGCGGCACTCTGTATCGAATCTTCCTCCCACTGCTTGGAAGACCGAGCTCCACTCCGAGTCCTCCTCATTCACATAGAAGTCTATCTTCCTCCCATGCTCCCTCCACACTGCCTTCTCCTCCAACACGAGCTGCCCGCTATCGAGGAAAGCACAAAAACTCTCACGTATCCTCTTGCATGCCTCTGGGTTCGCCTCCACAGCAACGACCTTGAAGCCATGGCCGAGGAAGTAGCTGGCACTCTGACCGATATGAGCTCCTATGTCGAACATCAGCCGCCCATGCCGGGAGCCCTCCGCTGACCCTGTTGACTTGCCTGATGCCTGCATGAAGTCGGAGAGCATCCGAGAGTATCCGAATCAGTATCCGATCAAGTATCCGCAAGTATACTCGTGATAGTACTCGTGACGGTACGTGACAGTATCCGCAGGAGCAACCGGAAATCCGGCGTGGTAGTAGGGTATCCACAAGGGGCACTTGCGCGTAGTCCGTGACCATTTATAATACTTCTTGCCAGAGAGTGCTGTAGTAAACAAGAGGCTTGTGCATTCCGAGAATGGGCTTCGGACGTTGAAAACAGCACCATGCTATGGTAATAATAAGCTCTGTCTAAAAGAGATGTTCTAGTAAATCACTGGGGCGAGCTCGATACCAATAGAATTCAACAAGAATTACAACTTTGAGGCGAGCCTGTGAACCACTCCATGACGATGTATGACTTCTTGACGAGAATGAGTCTCTTCGTTTCTCTCAAACACGGGAAGTTTTGAAATCAAGTTGGTTCACGGCGGAGTTCTTTTAAAACCTTTTTTAAGATGGAATAAAATACTTCTTGTTTACCCCCCATCTTCAAAACCACTTCTTTCAAGTCTTCCAAAGGACCCTACCACGTCGTTTACTTCCCATCACCACCCCTTTTCGACGTGTTCCTGCACCGGTCATCCCAACGACCATCATGTAGTCAAATCACAGCCCCAAGAGTAGGAATGGGTGTCATTCACCCGTCCTTTCTATAGTGAACTACCCCGTTCGAGATCAGTTTCCTTACCTACCCCACCTACCTCATTTCCGAGAGGTATGACCCCATGTAAGCAAAGACCTCTTCATGGCATGTTGAACATGGTTACCACCCCCACCCCCATGAACTCGATGTCACCAATTTAGAGATCCCAGTACCCCAGTATTCACCTATCTTCAAACCACATCTCTTCTCAATGTGGATATGACTGTAAACCTACCCGTAGACAGTGTGGTACCCACCCGTAGAACGATCATTTTTCGGCTGTGTACCCCTTAAATAGGTACTGATTTATTATGACCCATGTAGACATTGAAGTACCCACCCACACAAAGTGAGTAGTTGAGTACCCTACCCTTGTAGAACAGATTTCATCGACCCCCACCCCTGCTGCATGCCCTTCATTTCACATCGGTCACAACATGACCCTCATCCTTCCGCACCCCAACTCCCGCTGTCCCTCCACCTCCCTCCCCGCTCGCCCCCTGCCTGCTCCATGCTCCGATGTCGTCCCTCTCCCCCCGCCCTTCCTCTACTAGATGAATTGTCCGCTTTTGCCCTTTGCATCTTTTTCAGTTTCTGAGGCATGTAGCGGCTTTTCTTGAACTCGTGTTCTGAGAAATAATTCCTCCCTGACATCGTTAAGCGCTCTTGGTCCTTTCCCCAACCATGATGTGATGTATTCGCATTTTTCCTTTAGATCTGTTCAGGATTTGATCTGTCGTGACGACCATACTATCGTCGGTTTGTTAGCCTTGTTCATCCCCCCCCCCCTGCCCCTCCTCACGCACACACCACCTTTGGTTGTTCGTCTTCTTCATTTACCTTCCCCTTCCCCCTGCCTCCTTTGCCTTCATGGCCAACTCTATTATCTCCTTGCTTTATCCTTTGAAATCGAGTGGCGAGTTGAGCTTTCCTTTCTTGAAATCTTAGTTTTTGCAGAGCCTTCATACCAACAATCCGCACAGAAGCACTTCCTCGTCGTCCCTTGGATCGCCAGGCTGGAACTAAGCGTCTGGTGCAGCGGTTCTGTGAAGCAGGGCTCCTGCATGTGCGTGAGACAGTGAGGTCATATAACAAACCAGAATGGATACATACCTGATAGAGATCGGGAAATCACAAACGTTTGTTTTCGCAGTAGGGATATTTGCTGGCTACACTCTGAAACAACTCTTCAAGAGCTTGCTTTCCAACTCCGATGGGTCGAATCCGAACGGCTCTTGCGAGAGCTCTGTTTCGACCTTGAGATGGTTGTATTCAAGGATAGGCGTAGATTTTTTAAGATTCCTTCCCTCCAATTATTTCCGAAAACCGATCTCGGACAGTGATTCGAGACAATACATCCTCACGCAAGCGTTCAATGCTGCAAGTGCTATTTGCCCAGGCGCAAGAGCCCTTGGAATGGTTGTATGCAAAGGATCGGAGTTGAAGATTGTTCATGTCAATCATAGATTACGAAAAATGCTTGGATGGGGTAGCGAGGATATTGACTCTCTTCCGCAAACTGTTCATGAGCTCCTGCCTCCGGCAATGCGGAGAATACACAAAGAATGGGTATGGCATGCTCTTAATCAAGGGTCTCTTCCCGGATCTCTTTTGCATCCTCTCAGAAACGTTGGCCTTCAACGATTGGATGGGACAATATTTCAAGCGAATGTAATTATTCGAACACTAGGACAGGATCTTCATGTCGGCTCGGATGATTGCATTTTTTATGCGATGATTGCTCCTTTTGAAACGAGAGAGCAAGAAGGGGGTAGTCCCAGAGGTCTTGCATCTTGTGTTCTTCTCAACGAGAGTCTCACCTTCTTTGTCAGAGAGCGAAATGTCTGTTGGTCTGTGGCACTCAGCCGCTGAGGTTCTTTATGGTACTTGAAAGCTCAATCAATTGAGTTCCAGAGCTGACTTGGAGTACAGGCTCAAGTGCTGGCAAGATCGTTGCCTCTGGACTGCTTCCAGCTCCCGAAGAGTACAGCGTTGCTACGGTTTGTCTTGTTGCTTTGGTTTTCTCTACAATCTTAATGTGTCATCAGGTGTTATTTCTGGACATTGTTGGATTCACAAAGAAATGCACACAGCTGTCTCCCAATGAGGTAAATCCATAATTTTGGAACCTTACATGTCATTCAATTTTTCATTCGCAGATCACAATTTGGATGACACAAGTGCACTGCAAGATAGAAAGTATGATTGACAAGACATGTGAAGCCTTTCTGATTGCTGACGATCGTATCCACAGACTTAATCGTGAAACATCATCTCAGGAAGATAGAGGTCATGCAGTCAGACCTGTCTGGTGTGGACTTACCCTTGTATTTCAGACGCGGGGAGACTGTTACATCTGCGCCTCGGGCACCAACTCAGTCGAAGGCGATATCACTGAAGATCAAATGACTAGGATGGTGGGTGTAGCTCTTGTTGTACTGGAGGCTAACTTTGACTCATCTTGTTTGCCTTCCAGACTGCATTTGCTGTCGACGTCGCCAATGAGATGTTGACGAACGGAAGGACTATCATTCGTGTGGGAATCGCAACAGGCCCAATCACCATCGCCTACATTGACAGCAATCAATTTGCTCCCACCATGTGTGCGTTCGGAGATACGATGAACACTGCAGCGCGCATGGAACAGAGTGGCTCTCCAGGTGACGATGGAATTGCAGATGTCGTGTCACCTGACTTGTCTTGTGCTCAGGGTACTTGCACCTCTCAGAGGACGCGGCATTGAGATATTGCGAAGAACTCCGCATGACGTCAGTTCCATTGAAAGCAGGTGATAGCGGCAAAGGTGAAACAAGATGATTGCATCGCCATTACTTGAAGTAACTCGTCCTTAGACTTCGGGCACAACCCTTCCGAGAGCATCATGACTCCCCCATGGTATTCCGACTGACCCTAGTTTAAACTTTGATATCTCACGACATTGTGCCGCAGGCATATCATCGACGTGAAGGGGAAGGGTCAGGTCAGAACTGCTTGGATCGATTGCGCTACTAGACAATTCGCCGAGCTCACAGAGAACAATCCTTCCCATACTCGCTCGCAGGGGCCATAGTTACCGTACCGTTGAATGATCGTCGCCGATCATGGAATTATGAATGTATTTGTATGCCGCTGATTAATGTTAGAGTACTTAAAATCCGAGTGAACTTCCGTGATCTGGATTGAGGATCATCCTTTCGGGCGACTGGCCGCAGGTTCCGAACTTCGGCGCCGCGCCAGTTACGGTCTCGGACCTGGATTGCATCTCATCGGATCAGGCTTTCGGGCCACTGGCGGCGCAGGTTCCGAAGTTCGGCGCCGTGCCAGTTACCGTAGTACGGTCTCGGACCTGGATTGCATCTCATCGGATCATCCTTTCCACAGGTTCCGAAGTTCGGCGGCGACTGCCAGGCTTGAGGCTACTCGACTCGGCTGCCAGAGGCTCCGAGCGGTGGCGGTCACTGAGGCTTACAGTGGAAGCGCCAGCACTGCCCTGGCTCAGCCGGCCCGGGCCCGGTCCCCCCGGGGCCCGGTCAGTGTGACTGGATGAGGGCGACGCCAGTTTGGATCTTGTCGCAATGGCAGGTTTCGTGGGTACAGGGAAGAAGATAGTGGCGATAGGAAGGAACTACGTGAAGCATGCTATGGAACTGTACGATGACTCTCTTACTCCGACCTCCTTCACCATGCCATCACTCTTACTTACTTGCATCAGCTCCCTCTCTTCTCCTTCCCTCCTTTCCTCTTCCCCACCCTCCTCCTCCCTTCTGTGCCTCTCTGCTCCTCACGCACTTCTCAGCACGCTCATGTACACCCCCTCGCTCTGTAATCTTATCACAGGAACAATCCTGTGCCGTCCGAGCCGTTCTGGTTTCTGAAGCCCACCACGTCCTATGTGACAGCGGGGAAGCCCGTCATCATCCCAAGAGGAGTCGATGAGATCCATCATGAGGTCGAGCTCGGGGTTGTCATCGGGAGGGGAGGGAAGAACATCAAGTCAGAGGAGGCACTGAGCCACGTGGCCGGGTAGTTCGTCCTCTCGTGCCCTTCTTTCTGTCTGTGAGCTCTGCTGGAACAGATACTGCCTGGCGTTCGACATGACAGTGAGAACCTGGCAAGACAAGGCCAAGCAGAAGGGGCTGCCATGGACGGCCTGCAAGGGCTTCGACAGCTCCTTGCCCGTTGGCTCCTTCTTGCACAAGGACCTGGTCAAAGATCCGAGCAATCTCACTCTCTGGTGCAAAGTGAACCAAGTGGAAAGACAGAGGGGATCGACATCCTTGATGATCTTCCCCATCCCTCAGCTCATCTCCGCCATCAGCTCTGTGCACACGCTGGAGGAAGGAGATCTCATCCTCACTGGTGAGTGAGCGTGCTAGGTGATTGGCCCGCCCAATGCTGGGATGAACACTTCCGTACAGGAACGCCAGAGGGTGTGGGGCCTGTGCGAAGAGGAGACGTGCTACAAGGAGGGATCGAGGAGCTGGACGTGAAAGTTGAGTTTCAGGTTGAGTGAGTCGGTATTGCATTATCCGTCTTTCCTGTCGTAGAAGGCCTCTAGTGGATCAGGAGCGAGGAAGGATGCGTCGCTCTCCTTCAAACCGCACAGGACCATGGCATCGCTGCTCGCCCCCTTCTCTCCAGCTTTTCTCTCCGTATCTTTCATCCCAACAGTGAGTCTTGGCTACCTTCCGATCATTGCAGAAAGACTCACCGTGTATGCTTCTATTCACAAACGTGAGGCTCCATGCATGAAGCATCATCCTGCATCGAAGATCGTCAGCCCTCAGCAGAAAGATGCCACGTCGTCACCTGGGAGACTGAAAATCGTCCGTGTAAGTTGCGTCCCCAATGATCGGATGCCCAAATTTCATCCTGTGCAAAGTCATCGACCAAAGTCGCACGACAGCGTTGTCGGGTTCTTCTTACATGTGAACTCTCAGCTGGTGCCTCCGTCCAGTCTCGGGCTGCAGTATCACCTTGGACGCTTTCTTGCCGCAGCATTCCCCCCTTGACACTACCTTCATCCTTGTCTGCGAGACTTTTCCGCCCTGGCTCGGGATCAGCACCTTCATCCTGAATCCATGCTCTTCATCGGGGCCAATAGGCCAGTCGAGCATCCTGTAAGGATCCTGCAGCCCATGCCAACGAGATGCTTTCAGATCCTCTAGCGTGGGGCCTTCGATGTGGCCCTGCACGAGTGCGAGGTACAGCTTGATGACATTGCGTCTTCGAAAGCACTTGGACGCCTTAGCCGCTGCCTCGCTGTTCAGAGCCCAAATCATCGCACCCGACGTGGCGTAGTCAAGACGGTGACATGGGAAGATTGCTGCATGCTCTTGCAGCAGTAGCTTCTCTACCGTATGCTCGAAGTCTCCTGATATCCTTGAATCGTATCGTTTGTCAACCACTACATAGTTATCACATCTGTGGATGACATTCAAACCTGTCATTGGAGGAGGCGCATTTCTCCCGTTCGTCTCAGTCACAACATCCCGATCCGACTTGCGGGGAACCATGGATACCCCTCTCACCTTGTGCGCATGGCACACCTGCTGCCGCCTTGAGGTCGGCCATCGACTGGTCGCACGAGAGCGCATCATCATCGCTTCAGGCACCCATCTCATCATGCTGGCATGCGGCATCAAGGCCCGGGGGCGCACGGAACCGCTAACAAAGTAGTAGTACGGTCCCGGGCGCGCCGGGCAGCGGCCCGGCCGGGCGGCCTCCGCCGAGTCACTCAAAGCTCAGGCCAGTGAGTCAGCTTTGAGTAAACTTTCAGTGACAGATACTCAAAGTTAAGTTAAAAATCAGTACGAGGACATGCAGTAGTAATGTGTTTGGGTGACCGCACGGTTGGCAGGATGGGCTTTGGTTCTCCTCGTCACGGTCAGGATCAAGCCTCAGGCCTCAGCGACTCTCACAGCAAGGTCTCCTGATTGTCCGGGCCTCGTGCAGATCTTTAACTTAACTTTGAGTAAAATGAGTAATGAGTGAGGCGGCATGCGGTCCGGTTCCCAACTTCTTTACTCAAAGTTAAGTTAAAAATCAGTGGGGATGACTTTCAGAAATCAAACTAGCATTCTTGCTACTGCTACTTGATTCACGTGACTCCGACTCCCGTTAGTACTACGACGGTAACAGAGCTCAGTAATCGGAGTCTCGGACTTGGGTCGGAGTCTCGGACTTGGTCATATAGCAAGGAGTTATAAACTATTCCATTTTGGAGCACCTTCCCTAGTTTTTACTACTACCCTTGTTCTATCTCATCTGCCAACCACAATTTTAAAAATCAATTCGACCGATTGTTATTATTAAAATATTATTAAAACGGATCCCAATCGCAAGGGATCAGTATACTCATGAAAAAAAAGAATGAGGGATCATAAATAAGCATTGGGTTTCAACTGAGCAATCCAGCACACAGCTCTCGCCATGTCGGATATACCGACACCCTCGCTCCCTCCATCCATCCTCGCTCCAATCATACCAGCCAATCCATTCCCTTCCCCCCCTGCCCCTTCCCCTGCTCCCTCCCGTGCCTTCGTCGCCTGCCTCCGCTGCAAGGTGCACAAGGTCAAGTGCGATAACTCCCGTCCCTGCTCCCGCTGCCAGCGCCAGGGATGCGGCCAGGCCTGCTTGGCCTACGCTGCCCGGCCTGTCGTCGACTCTCCGGGGCTGAGCGCAGGCGGGCTGCCTAGGGCTGCGTCCTCGACGGCTGGGATGGGCTTGCCGGGGGCGGTGGTCCAGCGCCGGTCCTGCGAAGGCTGCCGGCAGAAGAAGATCCGCTGCAGCATGGAGAGGCCCTGCTCCAGGTGCAAGACCAACGTCGCGCAGGCGTGCGGGGATTGTCTGGAGAGCTACGCGTGTACTTTGAGCGGGTGGGCGCGAGAGCAGGGGCTTTTTGCACGCGTGCAGATGCCGAGTAGCTGGCAGCAGCTGGACATGTGGTCGGCGTGTCAGCTGCAGCGTAGGAGGAAGCAGGTGAGGCGAGCATGCAGCCGATGCCGGCGATCCAAGGTGGGATGCGACGAGGGGCGGCCATGCATACGGTGCATGAGGACGGGGCGGAGCTGCACGGAGGCGCTCGAGGGGGAGGAGGAGGGGGAGGGGGAGGAGGAAGGTGTCGGTACAGGAAGCGAGGGATGGATTGAGTGTGAGGAGATAGCAAACCTAGGAGTGATGGAGGGGAGGGGAGACTGGATTGAAGGATGGGAAGAATGGGGAAATGAGACTGGGGTCGAAAGTTTGTTTCCGACAGAAAGGGTTGGACAGGAGTCGAATAGGAGTCAGATTGGAGGAATCCCACATTCTCAAAGGACCCAACTCGGATCTTTCGAGCATATCAATTGTGAGGAAGAGACCATGCTTTTTCAAGACAGCGCAAGTGCTTGGTTATGATACAGATGTTTTTTTGTATTAAAAACTTAGAGAAATAAGTAAAACTTGCATCTGCATCGGTGTGTAAAAAGCTTCACTTCATTTGTGGTTGATCATTTCACTTATGCTTTGATCAAAATTTAACCTCAAGCATGTTACACCGAGCAGTGGTGGCAAACAGTGATCACTGGAGGTTGCGTATCTAATCCAATGTGTCGACCATCAGCTGTCATTGCTTCTGAGATCCATGTTCCACGCACATGGATGCAGTCTTGCTTTGTCAGGGTTACCGCAATCTTAACTCAAGACAAGGTGATGATCGTTACTGCCTTATGAGGTGATACTTGGAAAGGAGTCTCACACTTTCTCAAACCCAACTATCTTTTGAACACATGTACAAACTGGAAATGCACCGTGTCGCGTGACTCTTCCAAGGAAAATGATCTCATATCTGAGTCTCTTCTACCCAGGACAATCTGAGTCCTTCCTACACAATGGATCATTCTTCCTTCTTCTTGGATCCTTCATCATCTACTCCTCAAGAATCAAGATTGCTTTGAATCTCCATGTTATCTTACTCTTTCTTCCAAGCAAATGGCACCTGACAGCGAAAACCTGTTTACTTGCTGATCAAAAACTTGTTATTTTGCTGTTCTTTCCCTTGATTCATGTCAATCTACTCAAAGTCTCTGCTGATCAATCTGAAGTCTGAAATTTAAAATCTTTCTCTTGATCTGTTTATCTGGATTCCAAGAATATTTGTAGCCTTGCAAACGAAGGAAATCGGTCTTGAAACAATACATGCATAACCTCAATTTCTTTTCTGTAGTAAGGTTGAATTGCCTAAATTCTGTGATGAAGATGAAGCATATTGAGGCATGCAGAATCCTTCGTGGTGGCTGCTAACAAATGCTGCAACCTGCACTTCGCTTCAGAAGGATGAAAGGACAAACAGGAAAAACAGGTTGAGATGTCACATGACGGAATAGCAAATTCAGAACTTGAAGTTCAACACATTAGCACCGCTGCTTACAAACTGCTCCAAGTTTCAGTCAGTAAGGTAACGTAGATCAGCGAAACCATCAGTGCCTATCGAGGAGTGCATAATAATTCACGGTTCGGAAAGAAACCGGAGCGAACCCATCTTTGTTGCCGCCGTCACATCCAGAGGAATGGCAAGCCTCGGAAAGGTGGTTGCTGAGAAGAGTATCATGTGATATTGCCTAACAAAACTTCATGCACATCATCTCAGATCGACACTCTAACAAAGAAGATCCAGATGTCATTTTAATTCCCTCATTTCTCTGCTTTCACGCTGGCGCCTACATGTTTTTTCAAGACGTGCAGATATCTGTTCATTTTTTTCAAGACGTGCAGATATCTGTTCATCTGTTTTCCTTCCACTTCTGTCGCCCTGGCGATGCAACGAACGTTAAAATGTGCGTGACGAACAGAGAACCTTACCTAAGTTATCCAGCAGGCAGTCAGGCTGGTGCTTATTCGGTCGGTAACTGCGCGAGATATTGGAATAGTGAAGTCCACTGAACTTGCAAGCATGTGGGAACATACCTTGCAGCCAGGGGCACGCGAGCAGGAGCCTGAAGGGGGAACGAGCGGGTGGAAAAAAAAACATATGTGGGTTGACTACATATAAATAGACCCGAGACTACAACGATTCGGGGATGCTAACATCCCGCACCTTTTTAAACATAAAATGAAACTGTGAGAGGATTTCCGGTCTGTGACATTCCGATGCTGACTATCAAACCCGCCGACTCCGACTCCGAAAATGATTACAAGTTTATAACGAGGATACTACTAATAACATTTTACCGTAGCCTAGATTCCCGGCACACCCTGCACGCTGGAAGATTGAACGCTCGATGCTTCCGTTCCCTTCCCCCTCTCTCCCTTCCCCTGCTCCCTCCCGTGCCTTCGTCGCCTGCCTCCGCTGCAAGGTGCACAAGGTCAAGTGCGATAACTCCCGTCCCTGCTCCCGCTGCCAGCGCCAGGGATGCGGCCAGGCCTGCTTGGCCTACGCAGGCGGGCTGCCCAGGGCTGCGTCCTCGACGGCTGGGATGGGCTTGCCGGGGGCGGAGGTCCAGCGCCGGTCCTGCGAAGGCTGCCGGCAGAAGAAGATCCGCTGCAGCATGGAGAGGCCCTGCTCCAGGTGCAAGACCAACGTCGCGCAGGCGTGCGGGGAGTGTCTGGAGAGCTACGCGTGTACTTTGAGCGGGTGGGCGCGAGAGCAGGGGCTTTTTGCACGCGTGCAGATGCCGAGTAGCTGGCAGCAGCTGGACATGTGGTCGGCGTGCCAGCTGCAGCGTAGGAGGAAGCAGGTGAGGCGAGCATGCAGCCGATGCCGGCGATCCAAGGTGGGATGCGACGAGGGGCGGCCATGCATACGGTGCATGAGGACGGGGCGGAGCTGCACGGAGGCGCTCGAGGGGGAGGAGGAGGGGGAGGGGGAGGGGGAGGGGGAAGGTGTCGGTACAGGAAGCAAGGGATGGATGAGCTTCTTGGCGAGCGAAGGGCTAAGCCTTGCCGCGGAGCACGACGATGAGGAGGAGTTGATGCTTCGGATGCCAGGAGGGTCATGTTGGGAGGAGGAGTCGCAGAGCCAAGTCGGCTCGGATATGTTTGGAGAGGGAACGACAGAGGGTAGAGGTTGGGATTCAGAAGATGATGTGATGTTGTTTACGGATTATGAGACATTGAAGGAGAATAAAGTCCGTTGATCGTAGGTTGATACGAGTTCTGCTCACTTCTTCAATTTATGTTGTTAGCAGATCTTAGCACCTGTACTTGCCTTTGAAAGTGATTTGCTATCATTATTTTGCGCTTTCAAGCTTTTTCAACAACGGTTTCATCTAACAAGAAATCGTGCTTTCATCCGAATCAAACTGCAGGCCTAGCTCCTAGAAAGATAGTCATGAATGAGAGACAGAGACAGAGACAGAGACAGAGACAGAGAGATCCCGCAAGGAAAACTCTGCCAATCTCTAGCTCCCTCCCATAACTCCAATCCAAGGTGGGATGCGACGAGGGGCGGCCATGCGTGCAGTGCATGAGGACGAGGCGGAGCTGCACTTAGACGCTGCACTTAGACGCTGGAATGAACGCAGGGTGAAGGAGGAAGCCTCCGATGTCTCGCTAACTGACTCTTCTCCATATGGGGAAGAGGAGGGGGGAAGGAAGATCGGAGGAAGGGAAGCTTCGGATGGAAGATAGCGACGGAGGGGGAGCTTGTCATAGCCCGAAGCTTTACAGATTGCAACGAGTACAGAGAATGGTCAAGGCACCTCCGATCACACACAACAAAGGTGAAGAGAGAGATATGAAGTTTATTTGACAGTCACGTGGAGGAGAGGGTGGGGGAGATTGGATGGCAGTTCAGCATTACTACATAAGCAATTGATTTTGAAGCTGAGGACCAAGGAACTCTAGTTGACCTTTGCTCTTCATGGTCCCGACTGATGATGTGTGCAATGTTCAATAGATCATATTTGCTTGCTTTTCAGCATTCTTGCATGCGTGTCTATCAAAACTACAATTTCTCTCATGCATGACCGCAGAAGGCTCACACATTGCATTTGCTGGCAAATATTCGATGCAGCTTAGAATCGATCATGCTTCGCCACGAGGAATTGTTTGCAAGTAGGATGGCGAATGAATGCATAACTTAACTCGAAGGATGAAGGAAACATAAGTTGATGACCTGACTTGGGGATACTGGCCTCCTGAGGAAGAACTTTGAAAACTGACGTGAACTGGTCAAACGAGATCTTGGCGTATGAGATCGCAACTTGAAACAAAATGTGCTTGACACACGTGAAAGAATGAGAAAGAACGAGATGTAATGACCAAAAAGCGTCCGGGGGCGCTGCCACCTTGCTGCGCTATCATAGCGGTAGCTTCTTGTTTCTGCCTTGTAATTTTATTACTAGAGATCCTGAGGCTAACTTGTCTTCCCTATTCATTGGTATACTTCGATTGCCGCAGTCAGTGCAGGAGGTCCGGGCGCGGACCAGCCGCATGGCGATAGAGCATGAAGAGCATGGCGGTAGAGCATGGCGATAGAGCATGAAGAGCATGGCGGTAGTGCATGGCGGTAGAGCCTCATGGCGATAGAGGAGGAGGCATTCCCGAAGCTTGAGGGGAACTTCACCAGATCTGAGCATGCGAGCATTCGAGCAGAGAAGAGATCTAGAAATCTCAGCTAAAGTCTGGCATATAGGTTGAAAGTGTCGTAAGAAGAGCAGCTAGGCGCGGAGGAGGAAGAAGATTTTAAGGTTAGAAGGACCTTTAAGTTCGACTATACGTCAAGTTACGTCCTTGTCAATGAAAAATGCGAGGAATGCAAGGAACTAGTGTCTGAAAGAGGGAGAGAAGGCATGCACAAGGGATATCTGACAGGCTCTTAATCTTCTACAGAACAAAATGCTGTCGGCGATGAACACGAGCCGGAGCATGGAAGAAGCTCAGCGCTCATCTTCTTCGAAACAATCCAGGTGAGGCGCAACATGTGACTGCGTTGTCAGTGAACTTCTGTTTCAGAAGAACGCAATCAGACGATAGTTTGCTGGGATGTGGAGTGGTGTGGAAACTAGGGAAGATGTGGAGGGTTGCCTCTTCTGTCCGACTGTGGAGGGAAAGATATGTTGTTGTTAGAGGGCCCTCTGTAGATTTCTTTCACAACATGAAGGAATGGCAAGAAGGAAAGGAAGCTATCAAGACCGTATACATTCATGGGGCTCGGATCTCGAAGCAAGACTCATCTGAGGTCGTTCCACCATGACTGCACTCCTCACCGCTGTGTGAACCTCCTGCTGCAGCACGTGACTGGAAGATATGTGTTCACGATCGAGCTGCAAGGGTCCGAACGACAGCACGTATTGGCGGTAAGACTGTGCATCGTTATTCATGTGCCTGCCCTGAATCTGATGATGTCTTGTTCCTGCAGGTACCGACAGAGGAGCAGAGACAGAAGTGGTGCAATCTCTTAGAGCAGGCAGTTCATCCACCAGTGAGGACTTGAGGTCTGCCAGTATTCCGATGATGTAAACCCTATCGCAGGTCCATGTTGTCAAAAACTTTTTCCATGAAGGTGAGATGATAATGCTTATGGAGGTTCCTTTCTTTGAAGCAATCGGTCGACAGAAGGTGGAGAGACTGGTTTCAACTCTCCTATTCTTCCACAGATGTCGCATTCGCAGCTCAAACCTCAACAGGTAATTCTGAGGTAATACAATTTGAGTCCGCTCGCTCAAAGAATGCTTTCAGAATGCCGATGAGTCAGAAATTAACTTCATTGAAGACAATTCAACTGCAAAACAACTTCTGTTCCAGAGCCATGAACCCAACGAAGAAAGAGGTGACGCTGAAACATGAGGAGCTTGTGCTTTTTTCATGACGCTGGCCCGCTAGATGATGAGAGCTGCGTCGTTGTGAACGTTCCTTTCTGTAACCAAGAGGGTCTATCAAGAAGTTCTGATTTGTCTGGGAATCTAGAATTCAGCGAAGTGAAGTAAGTGACTCGCTATGCCCAAAACTTTGTTTGATGACCTCTGACTTGATCTTGCAGGGAAGAAGAATGCAGCAGAGAGGTTGCTTATGGAGAATCAAAGGAAATTAAGGATGAAGCAGCAAAAGACAAAGAAATCAAGAATCTGAAGGAAATCATTCGATATGAACAGAATATGAGAGAAATCGAGATGGAAAAAAAGGACGATATTATCTTCTCTCTAAAGGCTGAATTGGACAAGAAGAACGAAGTTTTGTCTATGCTTTGCGCTCAAGTTGAGAGACTTTCAAAACCTCTTGACACAGGCGAGTCACAAAACAACAGCACCTCAGATCCAGAAGTTGAGAATCAATTGCGGTCCATGATCACACAAATACAGACAATCCAGGAGGTTGTGATGGGAATAAGTGGAGAGCTTGGAGACGAAGAATCTCGTGCAGGTCTTGAGGATGATCGGAGTTCCCTCACATCTCAAGGTCCGACTCTGCTCACTGATACATGATTCTCACCTGCCTCATTCCAGGTGATGGAGAAGACGATGAGATTCAAGACGAGAGGGTCAGTTGCAAGCACACTGCCATCAGGTTCAGCTCGCTGGTGCTGCTGACTGAAGCAGTGAGCGAATGGTTCAGTGAGAGCTCCACGACCGAAGCAAGTGAGCTCTCAGAGGCGAGTCTGTCAAAATATTGAATCGTTTCCAGGGAAGAAGAGACTGGCATTTTGTAGATTTCGACAGAAGACCATCATAGAGAAATACGAGCAGCTCTCCTCCAAGCTCTCGACGTACCAGGAGGCAGTGGATGGGATGCGGAGAGCTGCCTTGCTGACGGATGGGATTCTTCACGAAGAGAGAGATTGGTCACCTGGTGGGTGACAGGATTGAGAAGGCAGGTCACTTGAAAGTTGACTGGTTTGTCAGATCAAGATGCTCCTATCGAGAAAGAGTTGTATGCTGCCCTGAAGAGTGCTCTGGTTCGTCTACCCCTCAGTCTTTGTTATGTCGCCCTTGACATGCGCGAACAGGAAGAGTTGGATACACTGAGAGAGTCGGAGAAAGAGAGGATGAGGCTGCAAGATGAATGCGAGAAGCTCAAGAAGGTTTACGCGCTCCGTGCAATCAAAGTCTTGATGAGTTTATTGGTGCAGGAGACTGCGAGGGCGTGGAAGGAGGCGAGGGAGTGCATCTCTCAGATCAAGTTGAACCTGTCGTCTTCCAACATGTTGGATACATCACAGACAGGGTCCTACCATTAGGAACGCGCTGCCACCTGGGGATCTGTCTCGAATAATCGAACTTGTTCCTGTTTGGGTTCGTAGACGAGCTCGTAAGAAACACTCTGCGGAGAAGGAGAACAAACCAAAGTGTCAGGAGAATGAATCTGCCACATTTAACTTCAAGCATATCACCTCTTTCACAAGCGTCTTGAGTCTTGTCAAGAGATCCTCTGTGAACTTGAGACAAACGTTTGGATCCCACATGTTTGGCTTGCCTCGTACCATCCTGATGTGAGGAGTGACAACAGGGTTGCATGCTGCTCTGGCTCTCACCGGGGAATCTCAAGGGTCTTGAACTCTTTCACCTGACGGGCTCCGATCAGGCCCAAACAAGGGGAACTAGTAGGAAACAAGAGCACCTCCTGCAATATCCCGTCGTCATCCCGAAATCCACATACTATCTTTCCGACTCCTCCCAAGAACGATTGTATCCAGAACTTCAACAGTTTGAATCGCTGAAAGGTGTTGTTCTGATTCGGATGTGATATAACCCTACACATGTGAATCTCAAGCATCGCAACCCTCACCTTATCTCACCTGCTTGTCTTCAACTCCACGTACCTCCTCTTTCCACCTCCCTCCTTCTCGCTTTGCTCCTCCTTCTCCGGCTCGATGCAGTCCATCTCAGCAGCGAGCACGAGCCTGTTCTCTCCTATTGAGATCTGGAACACGCTGCAATACTCCTCATTGGCGTCAACATGTGACTGGTCGCCATCATCCGAGGTACAGGCTCCTTCAAACTTGTACCCCCAGTACTGAAATTTCCTCATGCTTCTTGGGCTCTGAGTGCTCTGCTCCTCCAGCTTGACAACATCCATGTAGATCACTGACGAGTCTTTTCTCAGCTTTATCTTCCACGGGTCCTTCTTGTTATAGGGTGTCTCCATGCTGGGTGGCATAAGGGGGTTCAGCAGCGCGCGCTTGCAAGGGATGCACTCACATCTTGTTGAGATTGTTCCTGTAGCTCACGAAGTCGCATGACCGAGTCGTCGAAAACTGTGCATGAGACAGCGCCTGGAGGACTGGCTCAAGGGTAACGTCCCCCTCCTTCTTGGCGATATACTCGCTCATCCCAATGTTGAGGTCGTAAGGAAGGTGAGGCTTTTTGTACAACCTGATCCGGCATGCCGGGATAGTGATACGTCCTGATGCGTCCTTGCTGTAGCTCGTGATCTCTGCCGGAGCTGTGACTCTCACTGAGCCTGGAAGAACAAGAGGAAGTCAACCCTCCTCCTCCCAGTCTCTTGACGATCTCTCCCCTTCCTCTCGCCCCATCCCATCCCTTCCTGATCTCTGGCACTTGATCGCATCTCATCTTTCTCCTCTGTCCTTCATCGGCCTCTCTTCCACGCATCTCACTCGCTCGCAGGGTCGGCGGGAACGAAGCGACCAACTTCGGTATCGCCATGGCCATCGCAATCCGCAAACCAGCCCGCCTCAAGCGAAAGATTCTCTTGCTCTGATGAGAGTTGGCGGCGGGCCCGGCCCGGCCGGGGCCTGAGCCCGGGCCGGGCTGCAGCAGTCACAGTGCGGGCGGCCGCCGGCCCGGCACTGGTGCGGGCAGTGCGTCGCTGTCACTACGGCAGTACGGTCTTTAAAAACTTGACTCAAAGTTAAGTCAGAAATCAGCCTAGTACGAGGCCCGGGTGACAATCAGGAGAGTTGCCGTACCATGAGGCTACCGTAGTACGGTACTAGGCAATGATCATGATCGGATCCGGCGGATCCGGGAGTCCGATCAAGTATGGCCCGGCCTTACCTGCCAGAGACACGGGGGTTCACGGGGTGACACGCATAGGCCGGGCGGCCGGGGGGGCAGTACCCACCAGTAGCAACCACGTCCATGAGCTACATCTACAACTTGAATGCACAAGTCCTCTCTAACAGCAGGTTGAACATCACCTTCGTCACCGGAAGCGATCTCTTCCGCCAGATCATGACACGTCTGAGTGACTCATCCTCCTGGCAAAACAGTCTGCAGACTTACATGACGCGGTCGTACGCCACAAACAACTCTTTCCTGCAGACCTCCACCTGGTCCAAGACAAGCTATCTGGGGCAGTACTACATGATTGGAGGAGCAGCACAGTTTCTCCCAGCTGAGCTCCTGCAAGTCAGGTAAGCGCCCTCGCTCGCGCCCTCTTGTCCTTGACTCGACTGGTTCATCTGTGTGCAGGCGCGTGCATGAGAGGCATCTGTCAGAACTTCACCTCCCCGCCCTCGTCAGTCACCTACTGCTATGGCTCCTCCAACCCCACTGGCTGTACTGCGGGCACCACCAGCTGCTCACTGCCAGGGCCGCTGCATGGACACTCGACCGTGTCTGTGAACCTGCAGGGAAAGGTGA